CGATTGTCGAAGGGGGCCCAGTGGCCGAACGCGGGAAGCGCCGGCCAATGCGCGGCGCCCGCATTGAATGGGGTCAGAGCGGGGCGGGCGCACAAGGATGGCACGCAGGCGTGAGGGGGCAAAGAGCAGCGAGAACTTGAATGCCAGCGGCCACAGAGACGGCTGCGGCGGCTTTTGTGGATGCGCGCAAAAAGATGGGAAAACAAGACTCAAAATCAGCAAGGCCACTGTCGGCTGCCCAGGGGGCACCCGTCGAATTGCTCATGCTGCGCGCAGATCTATTCGCAGCGCCGCGCCATCCAGTCCAGGATGGTAGCGCGCGGTCGATCTTCATCGCGCGCGTTGAAACAAATCACGTCGCCATACACGCGCGACTCTGCTAAAAGGCGATAGCGCGCGCTGCCGCCACCAAGCGCGGCGAAACAAATAATGGTGGCGCCGCGCGGCGTAGCGCGTTTTCCAACCGCGTGCATCGTGCTTTCGCCTAGCCAGTACCCAGAAAACGATGTACATAGTATGTTTGTATATTTAGAATGAGGCATGAGAAATCGTCGCGATGATACTTCTGCATGATTTGTTCAATATTCATCCTGCAGAGGGCCATGCCCGAATGACAACTATCGTCGCGAGGCCGAACTCGCGATCGATATCACGGACGGCCACGCTATCGACCGCGCCGTCGATCTCGCGATCCACCCCGATATCGTTCCCACAATCGATGGAACTATCGCTCTCGCTGTCGCTCCCGCTAGCGATCGCGCTCAGTCCCTGGATAGCGATCTCGCGATCGATCTGGTTATCGACCAAACAGCGGATCGCAGAATCCATCTCCTTGTTCGTATGGTGACCGATGTCACTATCGATCTCGCGGTCGATCTGACTATCAAGCTCACTGTTGACCCTGCTATCAATCCCACGGGCGAACTCGCCATCGATCCCACTATCGGTCTCACTATGCATCTCACCACTCTCGCCATTGATCTCACGATCGCTTTCGCGGCGGGGCGCGGGCGCCCGCCCGCGACGCGAACGCGAACCCGTAGCCGATTTCTGTGGGGGGATCTCCGTTTCGCAGCGACCTCGCCCCTCGCCTCGAAGTTTGGCGCGCGCTCGACGCGGCGCCGGGCATTTGCGCGCGGGTATTTGCGCGCGGGCCGCGAAGCAATCAATGCCAGCGGGGCCCATCAATAGTTTCGTGCCAAGGCGGGCGGCAGCCCCCCGCGCGCCCAGCGGAACGCCTGGCAAGACAACTCGCGGCCGCCACCCGTCGACTCCAGCACCCGCGGCAGCGGGGAAATACCGACGCGCTTGCAAGTCGGAAGCCCGCAGTTGTTCCAATCGTTCAATCTCCTCCTCCGCCGCCGCCCAACAACCGCGCCGAAACGCCGGGCGATGCGCCGCCGCTTCCTCGGGCAGACCCCTCGACTCTTTCCTCGACCAACTGCGGCCCCCGCTGGGCCCGCGAGGGAGAGATCGCACCTTGCAGCCCTTGCAATCTCTGCGAGGGGGAGGGGGGGGGGGCAATCCGTTCCCAGATCGCCTCGCGACCTCGGGCGCGATGTCAATCGGCTCCTCGGCGACCCTGCAGTCGGTCATCTGCCGGAGGGCGACGATCGGCCCGCCGACTGGCTGGCTGGGCGGCCGGCGCAACTGCGGCGGGCTCTGCGGCGCGCGGGGCGGGCCCCGCTGGCAGAGCAGGAAGAGCGCGCGACTCCGACCGGCAGTCGCGCCGGCGGACAGCGCGCAACTCGAGCAGCGCGGCCGAGACGCGCGATCAGATGGTCCGCCGCGGGCTGCGGCGCGGTGGGCCCATCCCCCGCGCGCCCAACAGCGGCCGTCTCCAGGCCGACGAACGCCCCCTTCCCCGCCCGGCCCCGTCGCCGCGGCGGCGGCGCAGGCGCGAGATCCCAGCCGTTGCCTCCGTGGCGCGGGGCAGCGGGCTTCGCGCGGATCGACCGGTTAGCGCCTGGGCGCCGGGGGCCGCGCGCGGGGGGCGCCGAGCGCTCCGCCTCAACAAGGCGCGCGTCATCCTCGACCCCGCGCGCGATGACAGCCCGGCCCGGGGTTCTCGACGAAGGAAGATTTGGGCCATCGCAAACGGGGGCACCTCGAGGTTGAACCCTCTCGCGCAGCGACAGGCGCAGTGCCGCGTGCGACAATTTGAAATCCAGGCAGCGATGGGTCTTGGGTGGCTGCGGCCCATGCAGCTTCACCTCGATCGGCGCGTGGCGCGATGGCCGTCGCGGGGCCTGACCCTGAAGCGCGCGAGATATTCGCCCCCACGATCGCGATTGTCTGAGCGCGGGCGGAATGAGGGGGGGCGCGTAACGTTGCTTCCGCCCCCGCGCCTCAATCTCCAACCAACGCTCACGAGAATGCCAGGTCCCGCGACTCATCGCGACGAGAATGCCACCCGAAGACTCCCTCAATGGCCAGGGCAAACTGCTGGGTCATCACTTCCGACAAGTGCCAATCCTTCCCACGGCTGACGCCCTTGACCTCGCCCTCGGGCTCTGGCGAGCGACCGCCCCGGCCCCTCCGCGAGCCCGAACGCTCCGATTGGAACTCCCGCCTGCAACGCGGCCGCCAACGCGAGGCAGCGCGCTCCTTCTTGGCCTCGGGGGCGTCGGAGGCTTGCGGGCGGTTCTCAAACGTCGAGGCGCCAGACCTGTTTCCTTGCATATGATGAACAGTCTCTGGCGACCGCAGACCGCGACGTGATGTTGGCAAACGACGACAGCCTGGTCCTATCCGCCGATGTCCCAAAATCCTCCTTCCCGTCAATCACGACACTGTCAACAACTGGCACGGGGGCTGTGGCGGCCTCGCGCGCATCCGGGAACGTGGGCCTGACCTCGCCCCTCGCAGTCTTGAGCCGCTCGGCGGTTCGCCTCCAGGCCTTCTCCAACAGCATCTTCCCTTGGCGCGCCTGCCCCTCGGCCGACAATAAAATCCTAGACAACCTTGCGCAGGGCTATGTTCTGCAAACCCCATGCCAGTGTCACTGGCGGCCTCGCTATTTCTAAATATCCCTGCCGAGCGCCTCGCGCATGATGCGAAGACCCTCGTGCAACTCTGCCCGGAGGCGGTGCTGCGCGCGCCGTGCCCGAAGTTTTTCCGTGGCCATCTCGGCGAGCTTGGGCGGCTCCTTTTCCATGGGCTCCGCGTTTTCTGGTATCGGTACATCTCCAGCTCCAGCCGCAGGAGGTCAGGCTGGAGGCCGCAGAGGGCACGGCGTCCTCCATCACCATCTGGCGTTCCGCATCCGCTGCCCTGCGTTCCTTCTGCTTAGCGGTCTTCCACCTTTCGATGCCGAACGCCTGCAATTTGTCATTTGCGGCGGCACGAAACGCCTCCGCGTCCTAACAAGTTTGGCACCGTCGTTTGCTTCAACACAGAACTCTTGAGCACGACTCCGAAGAACTTCCACCTCCTGCGTCGTGCCACGTGCCTTCTTGGCGGCATCCTCGTCCTTCTTAGCAGTTCGAGCTTCCCAATCTTCTCAGCAAGACAAACTGAGATTGAGCCCGCACTTGACGGGCTCAGGCGCAAGCGTGAAATCTGCAATGTCCCTCTGCATATCAGATTTTGAAGCGATAAACTTGACAACGGTTCGTCGGTCGGGCTGAATGTCTGCAGCTTCCGCGCGCGGGGCTGGGCGGCCATCAGAGACGCATACAGTGACTGCAGGCGGTGCGGAACTTCCGCTCAGGTAGGCTCCCCCGCACTTCGAGCACATTTGGAGTTTTTTGATCCGTCCATTCCCCATGCTTGCTTGCAGGATGCACTCACCTCGTATGCCCGCTGGACGCGGCGATTGGGAGCCACCGGCTCCTGGAACACCCAGTTCCCACGAGCAGCGCCGCCGCAGCCATCAGCACGATCGCCAGCGCGCCATGGAGGAACCTTGGCGCCCGCCATGCCGCGACAGGAAACTGCGGGTGCGAGAAAAGGACACACTGCCCCTGAAATGAATGAGGACCGCCGTGGGCCGGCGGTCCGATCTCTGCCACGGGCGAAAATAATTTCGAGTCGAATGGCTATGGGGAAGAGGGAAAGGAGGAGGAGGAGGAGGAGGAGGAGGAGGAAGAGTACGAGGAGGAGGAGGACGAGGAGGAAGAGGAGGAGGACAGGGACAAGCAATCTACCCTGCCTCTCTTGGTCTCCCTCTTCACCTTGAAGGTTGCCCGGCACGCCCCGCACTCGCAGGGTGCTCCACACGGGTCGGCGAAGTCGCGACGTCGGAGGACAGGGCGCCGAGTGAGCCCGAGAGGAGGAGAATAAGGAGGAGGAGGAGGAGGACGAGGAGGAGGAGGAGGAGGAAGAGGGGGAGGAGGAGGAGGAGGAGGAGGAGAATGACGAGGAGAAAGGGGAGAGTGAGAGGGGAATGAGGGCAACAGTGAGGGAACATGATGAAACTGGGGGAGGAGCAGAAGCAGGGGACGGGTAGGATGACGGGTTCCCACGCCTCCAACGCTTTGTTTTCAATGCGGGCCTCCAGGAACCCTCGAGCCCTTCCTGGGAACCGGTCTTTTACCTGGGATCGTGCCCTGCTGTCACACGGGAGGAAGGGGCGAGAACGATGCTGAGGACAAGTCTGCCTGCCGATCTTCTGGCTTTGCCATCCGCTCGAAATGGCCGTGGCGGTGGTACGGGTGGTTGATTGCTCCACCAATCGTGGCACTTGTTCCATGTTGTCAAGTTCTTGGAGGTCTCTGGCATCCCTTCGTCGGCCCCAGAGCCTCATGTCAATCCCTGGGTGCCGAAACCTGCGACAAGCCACTGCTGTTCCCCAGATGTGCTTCAGCATGGAATTGGGAGTAGGGTTCTCATGGGGCTTGCGCGTTCCGAGACCTCGGCTGGCTTTGCTGACGTGTTTGCTGCTAATGTTGCCATTGCTTTTCATGTGATTCGCGCATTCATATTAGGGATCGGCATTGGGGTATTTGTGTTGTATGTCGGAGATCTGGCATTGCTAACAACAGGACGGGGAAGGTGTCCCGAAGCAGGCCGTCGTGGAGACGTCGTAAGACTCCGTCGCCTGATCGGTCATCGTGAAGCAGCCGACGCCAGCGGCTGTCCCCGTGGTGTAGATCTGCCCTAGTCTCCTCGGGACCGTCCTCCATCCTCCTCGTCCTCCAACGCCTCATTCTTCTCCTCTGCAGCTTACTCCCCCTCCCCCTCACCCGTTCTCTTCCTCCTCCCACCCCACGTCTATTCCTTCTCCTCCTCCTCCTTCTCATCATCATCATCATCATCATCATCATCATCATCAGCAGCAGCAGCAGCAGCACCATCATCAGCAACATCATCATCATCATCATCATCATCATCATCATCATCATCAACACCCTCATCATGTTCGTGCTCATGTTCATGATGATGATCATGCGCTTGCTCATTACCATGATCATAATCACCAGCAGCATCATCGTCATCATCGCCATCACCAGCATCATCATCAGCATCAACATCATCATCATCACCATCATCATCATCATCAACAACATCAGCATCATCATCGCTGTCGTCGTCGGCATCGTCGTCATCGGCTTCAGCATCATCATCCGACATCGTCATCGTCAGCATTCTCAACATCACCATCCCCCATCATCATTGTCATCACCACCATCAACAACATAATCGTCGGCAGCATCATCACAGTCACCATGATCATGATCATGATCGTGATCATGATCATCATCATCATCAGCAGCAGCAGCAGCATCATCATCATCAACAACAACAACATCATCATCATCATCATCATTCAAATCAACAACAACAACATCATCAGCATCATCATCATCATCCGCCTTCGTCATCGCCCTCATCAGCATTGCCTTTCTTATTATTGATACGATTCAGGTTCGTCGTCCTTTTACTGCTCCTTCGTCATCCCTGCCACCCTCCCTCTCTCCCGCGTTCCCCCTCTCTTCTCGACGCGGACCCCCGGCCTGAATCTGACGCATGCATAAGACGGCTCCCGAAGGGGCCAATCGTGCAAGCGTGGGAGAGAGGGAGGAGGGGGAGGAGGAGGAGGAAGAGGAGGAGGAGAGGTAGGAGGAGGAGGAGGAGGAGGAGGAGGAGGAGGAAGATTACCACGAGGAGAAGGAGGAGGACCAGGACCAGGAGGCATGATTCTGGGCGGGGGAAAGAATAGACCAATAGCAGAAAGAGGATGACGAAAAACATAATTACCTGGTGCAGGAGGGCGGGGAGGAGGATGGCCAAGAGGAAAATGAGCAGGACGACGACGAAGCCGAGGACGAGGACGAGGGGAGAGGGGAGGGGGGGGGGGGCGAATCTGATCAGCAGGAGGGGGAGTAGGACCAAGAGGAGAACGATGAGCAGCAAGCGTAAAGAGGGAGGACGAGGGCGAGGGATATAGGATATGGGAAACAAGATGAGGAGGGGGAGGAGGAAGAGGGGGGCGGGCGGGAGGGAGGAGGGAGGTGGCAGAAAGGAAGACTGGAGGAGGGGGGGCTGAGAAGGCTGGATGGAGGGAGGGAGGGGGTCGAGCAGATGGACGAGGGAGGCGTGACGGGGGAAGAGGAACGAGGGAGGAGCATGGAGGAGGAGGAAGGATGGACGAGCGAGCAGGAAAGCAGCAGGGAGGGTGGCAAGGCTCTGGAGGTCGCCGCGGCAGCAGTCCTCTGACCGAGCTCGGCTGTCTCACGCCACTGCTTCTCCTCATGTCATCCTCCTCCCACTTGTTCGTTTTCCAGCGCGCCATAGACTCAAAGGACCAACGAGGGGCGAGGAGGGAGGCTGAGGGATCGACAACAAATATAATAACTGCGTTGATATCGAGCCCGCTATAGTGGCGTTGGGACCCTCTGGAGGCACCCGAAGTAAGACCTACAACCGAACTTTCGATCATACTCTACCTCGCACCCACTTGGCCGCGCTGAGGCGGCTGGCTGGTCGGGGGGGGGCGGAATTGACGCTCCGCAATCAAAGCGAGCGTTTCAGCCCTGGCCCCGAATATCGAATCAACCTAAACGGGGCGTCGGCTCCGTGCCTCGCGCAACGACAAAAAGACATCCGAAGATACTTGCCCTGAAACCTGCTGTCTAGCTAAATGATGGGTCAAAACTCACTCCGTCCGTCCTCTTCCTCCTCCTCATCCCTGTGCCAGCTCTTGGACCCGGCCCAGCTGTTGAGCGGATCGGCGTCGCCCTCGTCCGAGGCCTTGCGCTATCTGGTTTCCCCTCGCGCGCCCAAGATGAGGTGTCAGGGCAGCGAGTCCTCGACAGGAGACAGCGCGAGGCGGCGGATCTTTCGGACGGAGGCCGACTTGTTTGTTTTGATGTGACGCACGCTTGATGAGATGACTTCGTTGGTCGGTGTGGTGATCCCCCCTGCCGCCCTCTCGCCCTTTGCCTGCCTCACCTGCTCGCGGTCTGAGGGGAGCCTTCTCGGCACGGGCCTTATGTCGGGCGTGTCCCCCTACAGGGGGATGTTCGACGAAAATTGAAACATATCCAACAAAAACACCCAAAAAGGCCAAAACATACACAGCAAATAGTCCCCAGATTATGTTTGGACCATGTTTGGACTATGTTTGGGGGTACTTCGTATGTTTCGTCGAAAGTCCCCCTGGAGGGGGACAGGCCCGACTTGGCCCCGCCGCCCTCTCACCCTCTGCCCGTCTCGCCTGCTCGCGGTCTGCGGGCAGCCTCCTCGGCAGCGGGGCCGCGCGCCGGCGGCCCCGCTCGCATGGCACGGGGGCTGCCGCGGGTGCCCCATTCGCGCGGAGGGAGGCGCCGAGCCTCTCGATGCGGGGGCATCCCCACCCAGTCGCCTCCCCTACAGGGCAGGTTTTAACACATGGGACTTTAATATATATATATATAATATATATATGTATATATATATATATATATATATATATATATACGTATGTAAATTTATATAACATACATATATATATATATATATATATATGTCGGCGGTGCGCCGTGGCACGACCCCCCCCCCCAGCACTACCGGGGGGTTTCGTGCACTACCGGGGGGTTTCGTGCAGCCCGCACCGGGTGCCGCCAGCGGCTTAGAACACCCCCCCCTTGCCGCTTTACCGGGGGGGTTCGTGCAGGCCGCACTGCGTCTACCTGGGCTCCCCCCCCCCCCCTGTGGGAGTGGGGGGGTGGGAGTGGGGGGTGGGTTGGGGGGGGGGCAGGGGGGCGGTTGGGAAGGGTGGCTCCCTGTCGAAGTGTGGCGTGTGCTCGCCTTGTGTTCTCTATTCGCGTCTGCTCGCCTTTGTTCCGCCGCAGCCTCTTGTATTTTGGCTCGTGGCCACAATACGAGAGGCTGCGGCGCAACTCCCGAGAGCCGCTGTGGGGGGTCGACGGCACGGCCGCGTAGAGAAGAACAGTGCCGCTGTGTTCCGGCACGGCCCTGGGATGCAATGCCGCCGCCGTGTTCCGGCCCGTCCTGGTAAGATTCGCGCGTCGGGGCTGGGTTTCGCGCGTGCTGGGAGCACGCCGCTTACGGAGGGGTTGCGTCCTTACCGGGGGGGTTCGTGCAGCCTACCAGAGGAGATCGTGTTTACCGGGGGGGTTCGTGCAGGCTCGCACCGGGAATGGCGCCAGCTCGAAACCCCCCAGGAGAGATTACCGCGGGGGGGGGTCGCTCCGCACCGGGCACCGCCGACATATATATATATATATATATATATATACATATCGGATTTGTCATACATGCTCAATGTATGAATCAATGTATGCATGCACTCCTCGTTGCTTTTGGTGCCGAATCCCTGCATGTTTAATACATGATCCGCACGCGGAGGATGTATGACAAAATGGCGCTGTAGGCTCCTGCAGGCGGGAAAGAAGCATGGAGGACAATAACAGAACAAAAAACCGTCCCCATGCTCTTTGTTTTGACTGCTCTTGGATTTCCCTCCTGTAGCGGGGCCTGCCTGATGGTAACCCCAGCCCGACCCACGTCGGACCCCTTGCGGAGCGCCGCCGCCGACCCCCTCGTGCACCCCTCCGCCGCGCGCTCGCGCTCCCGCGCCCGCCGGCCTGCACCCCTCGTCCCTCCGCGAGCGAGCGAAGGGGGGGAAGTCAGAAGGAGAAGTCGCCGTCGCCGTCGTCGTCGGCGGCGGCGTCGTCGACGTCGTCGCGGTCGTCGTCGTCGTCGTGCGGGGTCGTGCGTGGGCGTCGTCGTCGTCGTGGTCGTCGTCGTCTTCCTTTCCTCTTCTTCCTACCTACGCCCCCGCCCCTCCTCCCCTAGCCGTGTTGGCTCGAGACGGGGCTTCTTTCCCGCTCAGACCCGACAGGCACGAGACCGAGGTGGAAGGGCATCCCCCTCTCGACGGCGAGCGAGGGGGGGAAGTGCGAAGGAGAAGGCCTTCTCAGAAGGCGGCGGGACTTCTCACAAGCCCTCGCGCCTTCGGAGAAATTTGTGTTTTGTCTCCAGGGAGGCTCAGACAAGACTTCTCAGGAGGCCGGGGGACTTCCGAGCCTTCTGAGAAAACCCGCCCTGGGGAAATCCAAAAGGTACCGATACAGCTACTCCCCGGACCCCCTCCCGGGGTGCGTTCTGACCAGAAAAGTTCGAGGCGGCTTCAGCGGTGGCGACGCTGGCCTCCCAGAGGGCCCGGAAAAGGGGATAAAGAGGGATGGGCAGCAGTATCGGTACCTGTTCCTCCTCTGACGCCCCTTCTCACTTCCCCCCCTCGCTCGCCTTTTGGTTTTCCCCAGGGCGGGTTTTCTCAGAAGGCCCGGAAGTCCCCCGGCCTTCTGAGAAGTCTTGTCTGAGCCTCCCTGGAGACAAAACACAAATTTCTCCGAAGGCGCGAGGGCTTCTGAGAAGTCCCGCCGCCTTCTGAGAAGGCCTTCTCCTTCGCACTTCCCCCCCTCGCTCGCCGCCGAAGGAAGCCACCTGCCCGAGCCGCCGCCCGCCGCACCGGTGGCGCCGGACACGGCGCTGGCCCAGCCCCCGGTGCGGCGCGCCCTGCCGGCCAAGCCCACGGCCATGGGAACGAGCTGGACCCCCGCCCTTGTCACTCTGGGGTGGCCGGAGCGAAGACAGCCATCGGAGGGCGGGGAACGTCAGAAAGACGATGCGGAGGGGTGGGGGGCCGTCAGGAATGACCAACTGGGGCCGGCGAGACACACGCTCAGGGCCGGCCACCGACGCCGAGGCCCCTCGACACGCACCAGCCCGGCCTGTTGCCCGAACCACGCACAGCCGTGACGACGGAACTAGGGGAACATAAAGTGACATAAACATAATAACTCGGAGGTCCGCGCGGATTTCTCGGATCGGCGCTGGACCCCCCTCCCTGGCGCGCGGAGCGCGCCAGGGGCGGCGCCGGAGGCGCCGCCGGGGGGCCCAGCGCTGATCCGAGAAATCCGCGCGGACCTCTGAGTTTTTATGTTTAGGCCACTTTTTGTTACCCTAGGGACGGAGGCCAGACATAGCAAAAGAACAGCAAGAACAGAAAACGGAGAAGGGGGGGAAGAGGAGGAGTCCAAGTGACGGCAGCCCCAACCGACGAGCCCACAGTGAACGGGCCGGGGACTGCGAAGGCGCCCCCGCGCACCGTGTAGCATCCAGCAGCAGAGAGGTCGACTCGAAGGTGATGCCGGCGTCTTTTTCGTTTGCCCGGCTTTGCCGTGCACTCTCTGATCATATTTTTCAGAAAACGAAGCAACAGCCTCGTCGCCTGCGTTTGCCTATTACGCGAGAGGAGGAAGACGAAGTGCAGGAGAAGAAGGGGAAGAAAAGGCCGCAGAAGCTACAATCACCGAAGTAAGGACATGTCGTGGATGGACAGACCCCCTTTCGTAAAACGTGGTTTAGTGAAAGCGACCTGAGGCCCAAACCTGGCGGGCGCAAGCCTGGAAAATGACGGCCACGGCGCCCTCTCGAGAACCGAAAACGGACAATTCACTAATCGACGTGTCACTGTTGGGGGCTCTGTCCACCCCCGAACATTCCCGACTGGGGCGGGAGCCCCCTCCCGAAACGGTTCAAAGCCTCGAACGCAAAACACCCGTAGGTCACCGCGTTTACCTGGGATCCGTGGCACGAGGTGGCTAACGGGAATGCCGACGGAGCACTCTCATTGGTCCCGGGGCCCCGCAGGCCGGGTCCGCCATCCTTAGAAGAAGAGGAGGAGGAGGAGGAGGAGGAGGAGGAGGAGGAGGAGGGGGAGCGAACAAACTTGCTGGCCATACAAAGGGCCCGGCCAAGACGGAAACAGCAGGTCCCGCTTCGAAGAACGGGCAGAACAAATACTGCACTCCATGCCAATCGTAAGGAGCACAGGCGAATGGCCTGGAGGAGGAGGGCGGAGAGTTGTCTTTCCCCCCCCGCGAGTTCACGACAGTTTAGCTTGGACTAAAGTCTGGACCATGCTGTGCAGCCTCCTCGACCTGGTTGTGGGACAACACTGCAACCATACCAGGCGCCCCAACCAGACCCTCAATGCCCTGACTTGGCACTGCAATTTTGCGAGGCGGATGAGGTGATTGCAGCACAGCGCAGGTAATATACCCCCATGAGTGAAAACTGAAAAAGCGCTCGCCGTCATTCCTGCAGTAAGAGCGCATGCTGTTCGAAATGCGGGGCAACTTGGCTTTGTTTCTGGCAACTTGTTGCCCAACCGCTCCTGGTCAAGCTGTAAAGTATGCGCTCTGCGCGTGGCACAGGCAGAAAGACTCGTCGGCTCATCACGTCGTGAAGCAAGATTGTGTACAGGGGTGTGGCCTTTCGTGAAATCCGGCAGTCCTCGCCGCGTTGGGCTGGGACCCTTACGACCAATCATAGGGGAACGAACATTGACATACACATAAGAGCTCGGAGGTCCGCGCGGACCTCCGAATTTGCATGTTTATGTCATCCCTCGTTCCCCTAAATCATGGGGCGGGCCCCAGGGTTCTTCCAAGCCAGCAGGCGCCGCAGGGTCTGTCAGCGGCGGCCTGCGCCGCGCACTCGGCCATGCCCCTGGCAAGATTCCGAACCTGGGTTTTTCCCGGAGACGGGCCAGCTCGACAGGAATCCCCGGTGGCTCCAGCACAGAAGCTGATGCAGGCTGATGGCCCGTTCCTTCCAAGCCGGCTGAACCAACCAGCGCGGTCGGCTGCCCCACTGCAAATCGCAACTGGCCCTTGCCACAGCTCGAGAGGAAAGGGCGCTGCACATGCCCGCGTCGATGGTAGACAGAGGGCCGCCGCTCGCACCTATCCTGGATGGGCCAAACAAAAAAACAAACCCAACCTCTGGACGATACACATCAGTTCCATCAAAGCGGGGTCCAGGTTCCAGTCATCCACATAAAAGCACACTTGTTTAGGCTCGAGAGCCTTCCTGTTGGCCTCGAGGTGCGACATGTTACTTCGCATGATCGCGTGCCAAACTTCAGGTGAGCACGCGCCGTCGCGTGAGCGGGCGACGAGGGAACGGCAACCCGCGCCTTCATCACTCGAGCAGGGAAGCTGCTCACTTTCCTGATGGCAGTACACCTCGCCTTCCCCGCACGAGGTCCGCCCCAAACACCACGAGGAAACTGCCGCGGACCGAACGGAACACACCCGTGAACGTGTTCCGCTTGCTGCCGTGCCTCGTCGCCGCCTTGCCGCATCTGCGCAACAACTGCGAGGCCCCAGTGGCGTTGAGCCCGCAGCCGCCGCGCGACCACGACGGCGCAAGAGGTCCAGGAAGGACATCTCCGCCGCCATCTGGCAGGACCTGCGCGAGAGAGGAGACATCGGAAAAGAGGCACGACATCCGTGCTGCACCAGGAGCTCACAGATTGCTGGTCGGAGCAGCTGGGCCTATGGGAGGTCGGAGCCGTCTTGAGCCAACACGGCTACGGGAGGAGAGGGGGAAGGGGAAAAGGACGTCGGACGCTGGACGCCGGACGATGACGACGACGAGGACGATAACGGCAATAACAACGACGACGACGACGACGACGATGCCGACGATAACGACGACGTCGACGGCGACGGCGACGACGACGACGACGACGGCGACGACGGCGACGACGACGACGACGACGGCGACGACGTCGCGCGGGGTGGGCGGCCGTCCTGCCCTCGGCGTGGGGCACGTCCGGGCGGCCCCGCACTCGGTGGGGGTGCTCCTCCGGCCCGTCGACGCCCCGTTTCGGGGATGGACAGACCCCCCTTTCGCAAAACGTGGTTTTGTGAAAACGACCTGCGGCCCAAACCTGGCGGGCGCAAGCCTGGAAAACAACGGCCACGGCGCCCTCTCGAGAACCGTCAACGGACAATTCACGAATCGACGTGTCACTGTTGGGGGTTCTGTCCAACCCCGACTGTTGACGCTTGGGGGGAGGAGCCCATCGAGGCGCGAAATCAAGACTGCCAGTAACCCAGACCCCTTCGCGTTGTGAGAGGATCCGCCGACCCCTTGGGGTCACGGCGTGTGAGGTGCTTCCCCCTCCCCAAACCCCTCCCCTGGGAGCCCAGTCCGGCCGGTTTGGATGGGGGGGGGGGGGGGTGCAAAGGTGTCCGCAGCTCCCTTGGAGCCTCAGGGGGCCCCAAAACGGGCCAAGAGGGCCCCAAAAGGCCCCCTGGACGGTCCAAGAGGGCTACGAGTCGCCGAAAGATAGCTCTAAGACGCCCAAGATCGCCTCCAGACGGTCCCAGAGGCCCCCAAGACGCCCCAAGAAGCCACCAAGAGGCGTCCCCAGAGGCTCTCCAGAAGCAAAAATCGTCCCACTCCCGAGGGAAAACGTACATTTCTAGCACATTCGCCTCTTGGGCTTTCACGAGGCCCACAACGGACCAAGAAGCCTTTAAGATCGACCCCAGAAAGCCCAAGAGGCCCCCAAGAGGGCTCCAAGACGGCCCAAGAGGGCCCCAAGACGGCCCCAGAAGCTTCCAAAACGACCCAGGAGGGCCCCAGGACGGCCCCAAGAGGAGGCCCAGAGGGGGAACCCGAATGAACATTTCGAGCACTCGGCCCCCCAAAAACCTGAGGAGGCGCCAATCGGCCTCCAAGAGGCTCCCACGAGGCCCCCGAGAGGCCCAAAAGAGGCTCCTAGAGGCATCAGAACGGCCCCCAAGAGGCCTCAAAAGTGCTGCCGGGAGCGCCCAGATAAGCCCAAGAGCAGAGCGGCGATCCGCCAACCGCCCCCGACGAAATCCCAAGAAGCTGAAACCCCAAGATTCCCTAGAAATCGGTCCGCAAACTACGTCTTTCACTCTTAATTACTGCCGCCCCAAGGGGTCGGCGGTGCGGCGTCAGCCAATGAATCACGACGGGAAGTTTTTCACTACTTCCCAGCCTCCTGGGGCCCTTCCTGGGCTTCGGGGCCGTCAGAGAACGACTCAGGATGGAAAGCCAGTCCCCGGGAAGGGATCCAGAACTCTGGCAGTCGACGTTTTGAACAAATAACGACGTCCAGGGTCTGGGAAGGATACGCGATAAGGATGCAAGTCTCTTGGACGCCCGTGTTGACGCTCTTCGAGCGGGGCCAGCCATCGCAAGTGGTCAAGTATGGGCCAAAAAGGTACGGATGCAAGGGTACCCCTGGAAAGGCTATCCATCCTTACCATCGGTTTCGACTGCATCCCAGAAAGAGGTTCCAGGATCGGGGGTCGGCACCGTCAGTCCTCCGAGACATAGATCCTCGATCCAGATACCTCCCCGCCCCCTCACTTCCTCTTCCTCCTCCTCCTCATCATCAGCATCCGTCTCCTTTTCCATCCTCCCCCTCCTCCTCCTCCTCCTCCTCCTTCTCCTCCTCCTCCTCCTCCTCCTCCTCCCATTATTCTCCTCTTCCCCCTCCCCCTGCTCCTCCTCCTCCTCCTCCTTCTCCTCCTCCTCCTCCTCCTCCTCCTCCTCCTCCTCCTCCTCCTCCTCCTCTCCGCCCATTCTCCTCCTCCCTCACTCCCCCTCAGCCCCTCTCCCTCGCTCCAACTCTCTCTCTCTCTCAGCCCCCCTCCCTCCGTCCCCCTCTGCCTCACTCCCCTCCCCCTCTCCCTCCTGGAGGGAGAGGGGGCCCGCAGGGAGGGTGGCTGGAGTCCAGCCACCCTCTCTGCGGGCCCTCGATAAAGAGGTCCGGGGACCGAGGTTCGGAGGCCCGCGGAGAGGCGGACCTCTTGAGGGCGCTCCACGAGGAGGAAGGGAGAGGGGGAGGGGGAGGGGGAGGAAGGGGGAGGGGGAGGGGGAGGGGGAGGGGGAGGGAGGGGGAGGGGGAGGGGAAGGGGAAGGGGAGGGTGAGGAAGGGGGAGGATGAGGAAGGGGGAGGGCGACGAGGTTCAGGGATCGAGGGCCGAGGCTCAGAGCTCTGGCTACCGAGAAACTGCAAGCACAAATGGCCGGATTCCCATTCGGCGGTGGACAGACCTCCCTTCAGTAAACCTCCCCTGAGCGGAAACGGCCCGGGACCGAACCCGACGGACCTGGACCCGCAGAAATGACGGCCGCGACGCCCTCTCGCGAACTGAAAACGGCCCATCCCTGAATCGACGTGTCGGGGCAGGAGGTCTGTCCACCCCCGAGGATTCCCATGTCGGATATCCGGAGGCCGCTGGCTGGATGCACGTGCGGACTGACAGCTTGTCCGACCATTTGTGGATCCAACTCTTGCCCAGGCCACCTGCTCCGCCTTCTTTTTCTTCTCCTTTTTCCCCTCCTCCTCCTCCTCCTCCTCCTCCTCCTCCTCCTCCTCCTCCTCCTCCTCCTCCATATTGGGCTCGATGTTGTGCCCATCTGCCCCCCCTGTCTGGGCATCGGGGAGCCCCTGGGGACCTGTGGAGGCCGCTGCTGAACAGGGGGATCGTTACTCCGGAGGCCTCTGGCTGCAGCCCGGAAGCCGATGGCCTTTTTGGAGAACCTCCCGGGCGGCAGAAGATTGGGAGGTAAAATCGAATAATCGAGGCGCATAGGACTTCGGGCATGTCCTCCTACAGGCGGATTTCGGAGGAGAGATAAAGCATGGTCAAACAAATAGTCGGCAGTAGTCAAAACTAGTCGAACCTTCGTCCCCAGGCTATTGTTTCCCAATCCTTGAATCTTCCTCCTGTAGAGGGGCACGCCCGACTTACGCATAGGACGGCGGCGCCAAAGTACTGGTTGCGAGGAGTCGGTGGATTCACTTTCGGGCGCGCGCGGCAGGTCCATGCGCAACGTACGGAACCTGGACGGTCTGAGATCCTTGTGTGTACAGCTCGGCAGCCAAGTGCCCACGTCGTATGCATGTCGATCCTCCTCCTCCTCCTCCGCCTCCTCTGCCTCCTCCTCCTCCTCTTCCTCCTCCTCCTCCTCCTCCTCCTCCTCCTCCTCCCCCTCCTCCCCCTCCTCCTCCTCATCCTCCTCCTCCTCTTTCTCCTCCTCCTCCTTCCTCCTCCTCCTCCCCCTTCTCCTCCTCCTCCCCCTCCTCCTCCGTGCAGGCTGCAGGGCATGGCACTGCCAAAAGGGGACGCTTGACACAGGTCCCCCCACCTGGATCTAGGTCGGGCCTGTCCTCCTACAAAGAGATGTTGGACGAAGAATAAAGAATAGTCAACACATACCCCAAAATGGTCAAAAATAATCAAACAATCGTCCCCCGATTACTCTTTGATTATTTTTGCAGATTCCCCCTGTAGAGGGACATGCCCGACTTAAACCTGGATCTGAAGAACAGCCTAGAAACCCGAGCCCCTCCTGAATGAGCCCAACGCGATCCTTATGTCAGCGCCTCGACTGTAGGTGATGCAAGCTATGGGGAAACCAACCAACAGGTACCGATGCCGATGCCGATGCTCCCTGGACCTCTCCCAGGTTGCGTTCTGACAAGAACTTCGTAAGAAACCGCACTCTATACACCGACGCTGTTTCCGGCCCCGCACCAAAAATCGCACAGGAACGCGAATCCTGGTATATGGGATCCGGGAAAAACGGAGAAACACCACACCACCCCGACGTCGTCGCCGACCCTCACAAAGTCCTGGGATTGAAAAACAGCCCGCCACTGGCAATGTATATGCTCCAGGCTCCGACTTCGAGGCGAATTCAGCGGTGGCGACGAGGGCCTCCCAACGGGCCCCCAAAAAGGGGGAAACGAGGGAAGGGTCCTGGGGGATGGCCATTTGGTTTGCCGGGGCGGCCCTCTTGGGGGGGGGGCTGGATCGCTTCGTCTCAGCACGGCTGGGGGGGACCTGTTTTTTGTTGCAGGTCCTCCCCGACGGGGAGGGGTGTAAAAGGGCTCGTCTGAGAGGTTTGTAACTCCCCCTCTATAGTGGAGGCCAGTCCACAAGAAACCTTCCACAAGAAACCCAATCCTGAGACCCCAGGACGTCCACTTGTCCTAGCAAGACCATTGAACCCCAAGAAACCTTTGGTGTGGGAACGTCACGCTTGTCATAGCAAGACCATTGAAACCCAAGAAACCCAGGGCACCCTGGAGGCAAGCAGGGTGTTTCTTTGCATGAATTTCCATTGTATCATACATTTCGTTGTGCCGCTTCCTCCTCTGAGTCTACTCGGGTGGGCCTCATGGGGCCATCATAAACCTGACGAGATCCGATCTGAAATTCGGCGCGAGCTCCCGCTGCAAATATACCACGAAAACTGGACCGCAAAAATCCGTGACGCGCTCGTCAAACAACGACGGCAAACCCGAGCGCTGGCGCACTCGAGCCCAGACATGCGACGTCCTGATTCTTTCAGGACGGCGCCCCTGGAAGTCCCGACCCTTTCCCCGGGACCGGTTTCTCGTCCCGAGTCGTGTGCTGACGGCCCCGAGGCCCAGCGAGGGCCCCCTGGGGCCGAGCATAGCCAAAAACCCCACGACCGGATTTTTTGTTGGTCACGACGCGAGCACGTCTGGGTACGTCTCCAGGCGCCGAGGGCGCCGCGCCTCGAGCAGGACGAAAGGGCGCCAGTTCTCCCTCCTCCTCCTCCTCCTCCTCCTCCTCCTCTTCCCACCTCTCTTCTCCCTTCTCAGGCGGTGCCCAACGGCCCAGCGGCGCGGCCACGGAGCGGGCGCCGCGGCGCGCGGCGCGGGCCAGGGCACCCTCGGGGCGCCCGCGCGGCGGGCGCCCAGCGCACGGAGGCGCCCACGAGGCGCCCCCAGGCAGGATCGCGCCGCAGCGGAAGTCGGGGCGGGAAGCTTCCGGCCACCTTCGGCCCCCTGCTGGCCATCGCTCGGACGTCCATTCCCTGTGTTTTCTGTTGGTTTCGTGTGTGGCTTTTTCGCCACATGATCAAGGATGCTCCTCGATGGTCCTCGCCGAGGAAAGACGCACACGTCCGAGCGATGCCAGGCCTGGGGGCCCTCGCCGGGCCCCGGGGCCGTCGACAGAACGGCTCGGGAGGGAGAACGGGTCCCGCAGAAAGGCTCGGGACTTGCAGAAGGCGCCGCCCTGGCAACACGCAGAGCCGGCACGAGGATAACATGGGGGGGGGATACATCGGGAACCTCGGCGCTCCTGCGGCTCCGGAGGACGTCTTGGGCGCCGCGGCCCTCTCAGAGCGTTCCAGAACGCTGCTCGACGGCGCGCGAGGAGGGGAAGTGAGAAGGACAGGGCCTTCTATGAGGTTGGAGGGGAAGTGAGAAGGACAGGGCCTTCTATGAGGTTTCGGAAGTCCCCCGGCCTTCTGAGAAGACCTCTTCCGAAGACAGACACCACTTCTTAGAAGGCGCGCGGGCTCCTGAGAAGCCCCGCCGCCTTCTGAGCAGGCCTTATATCCTTCTCGATTCCCCCTCTCGCTTGCCGCCGAGCTCTGGAACAGATTTTGATGGGCCCATTTTCCACCACCACTACCATATGTAGGAGGGGGAGGGGGAGGGAGAGGGGGAGGGGGGGGGGAGGAGGAGGAGGAGGAGGAGGAGGTGGAGGAGGAGGAGGAGGAGGAGGAGGAGGAGGAGGAGAAGGAGGAGGGGGAGGGGGAGGAGGAGGAGGAGGTTGAGGAGGAGGAGGAGGTCACGGGCGGGCACCAGCCAGGCGAACGCCCGGCAGACCTGCCAGACGCACAGGGCGCCCACGGGGCACCCCCGGCCAGCCGCCGGGCGGGCAGGAGGCGAAACCCCATGTTACTCTGACCCGAGAGCTTGTCGGCAGAAGTGGCAGCCCCTGAGCGCAGACACTGCTTGTGAGGAGCAAGGAGGAGGGGGAGGGAGGTGGAGGGAGGAGGACCTGCACCTGCGGGAGCAACATGAAGCCTCAGAGCAGAGCAGATCTGTCCTTGGCACCGGGTCGTGGACGATCAAGGCTCTGGTGCTGATCGCCTGTGGGTGGATAGGACAAGGACGGGACGATCCCGGACCCTCCACCGACCCCCTCCCCCTTCAATTCACCCTTCCATTCTCCGCATCGTACTAACGCCCCGTCGCCATCCCTAGGAGCAGGAAACATCGGCACCATCACAACCATCGCAACAGGCACTGGAGCGCCATCGTGATGGCGTGGTGTCGCTGTCTTTCGGCATCCTGCCCGAAACACCTGCGATCTCCAGCACGGGGAGGAGGAGGAGGAGGAGGAGGAGGAGGAGGAGGAGGAGGAGGAGAAGGCGGAGGAGGCGAAGGCGGAGGAGGAGGAGGAGGAGGAGGCGGAGGAGGAGGAGGAGGAGGAGGAGGAGTACGATATCCAGCACGGGGAGGTCTCAGTGAACCTCTTCGCCATGGGCGTCGCTGGTGGCGTCGATGCCCCTCTTCTCCCTCCTCCATCTCTTTCTCCTCTTCCTCCTGTCTCGTTCTCCACATCCGCCCCTCCAGAGGTGTCCAGAGGTCCCTGGAGGCCTCCTGATGCCTCTAGAACTAAATAGGGGCCAACGCAACCACAACCTCGATCCTCCTCTTCCTCCTCCCCAGGCGCGCCAGGAAGCGCGGGGATGATGATGATGATGATGATGATGATGATGATGATGATGATGATGATGATGATGATGATGATGATGATGATGATGCTATTGATGATGATGCTGATGATGATGGTGAATAATGATAATGATGCTGAGGATGATAATGATGTCGATTACGATGATGGTGCTACTGATAATGCTTGTGATAATGATGATGCTGATGATGCTGACGATGCTGATGATGATGACGATGATGATGATGGAGAATGTGACTGTGATGGTGATGATGATGATGATGATGATGATGATGATGATGATGATGATGATGATGGTGATGCTGATGATGGTGATGAGTACTAATATGCTGCTGCTGATGATGATGATGATGATGATGGTGATGATGATGATGATGAAGGTGGTGATCATGGTGACGATGATACTGATGCTGGTGATGATGACAATGATGATGGTAGTGGTGATGCTGATGATGCTTGTAGTGGTGGTGCTGGTGATGACAATGATGATGACGTTGATGATGATCATGAAATGCTGAGGGTGATGATGGTGATAATGGTGATGATGGTGATGCTGATGATGATGCTGATGGTGGAAACGATGAGCATGACGATGGCGGTGATGCTGATGCTGATGCTGATGCTGATGCTGATGCTGATGCTGACGACGCTGATGACGATGCGTGTGCTGATTGTAGTGGTGATGACGATGTTGATGATGGTGGTCATGAAATGTTGAGGGATATGATGATGCTGATGACGGTGATGATGCTGATGATGACGGTGCTGATAATGGCGTGTATGATGATGATGGTGGTGATGGTGATGACGGTGGCGTTGGTGATGATGCTGATGCTGATGATGGAGGCGTTGGTGATGGTGCTGATGCTGGTGATGACGAATGAGATGTCGACGGCGATGCTGGTGTTGGTGATGTTGATGTTGATGGTGAGGCTGTTATTGCTGATGCCGATGATGCTGATGATGATGATGCTGATGCTGACGATGTCGATGATGATTAGGAGGAATAGGATGATGCCGATGATGATGATGGTGCTGCTGATGATGATGAAGGCGATGCTGATGATGAAAGCGATGCTGATGCTGATGCTTCTGATGATGAGCATGCTACGGGAGAAGGGAGGGAAGGGAGAGGAGGCGGAGGAGGCAGAGGACGACGGCGGCGACAACGACGACCTCCTCTTCCTCCTCTTCCTCCTCCTGTTGCCCTCTTGCAGCCTCTGTATCCCAAAAATCAAGAGGGTCCCACAGCCTCGAGCCCCCATTTTATTCTCCATCCCTCCTCCCTGTAGATCGCTCCTCCTCGTCGCCCCACCAGATGTGCCCAAGGACAGGTCAAGCATTTGCGCCTGAGCCTTCCTTGCAAACTGCGATCATGCGGCTGGAAATTCCTAGCAGCCACACAGGTGGAGGGCGGCTGGCTTTCAACATGGAGCAGGTGGCGCGTACAGCGCCCTAGGCCCACTCGTCCCGAGGGCTCGCTGGTAGTTCCAGCGGGGGCCTGCCAAAGTCAACAGCACCAAGTACTTAGCAGAGGTTGAGAAAACGATTTTGCCGATGGTCGCGGGAGGCTGGTGTTCAACATGTGCTTCTTGCCTGACCACCACACAAGCCTTAACGGTGTTTAACAACTATACTAATGGAGGGCAGCCCGTGTATGACACTGGGTCTCGCCTCAACGCCGCGTATGTTTAACTTGCAGCTCCCGACGTATACACTGATGGATGGCGGCCACACTACAAACTATGGTTCTCCCTGTAGCACCGCGCACGTTCGTCGTCAAATCACACAACACACGTGGATGGACGCCAATTCATGTTCAAAACGGAACTCGAATAGGAAAGCCATAACTGAAAACTCGATTAACCGTGAACGGACTGTCCAGCATGCGGCTTTCGCTCGAGACTTCCCCTCGGAGTCTGCTCAAATAACGCACGGGTGGAACACGGTTCCTTTTCAGAACATGCGTATCGCTGAAAACTTTATTGCGCAATGTTTGCATACCTGGTGGCATTCCTGATACTTCTTGGAGGCCTGGAAATTGGCACCAACACCAACACAGGGCGTTGCCTCCACAGGGGGAAGACGATCCTAGATTTCGGTGTTGGTGGCAATATTTCGGCCACCTTGGAAGCCAGAATATTACCACCATCACCGAGATCGGGATCGTCTTCCCTCGGTGGAGGCACACCGCCGAAATTGGTGTTGGTGTCAACCTCTAGGCCTCCGAACTTCTTCCTTGTAGCCGCAGCGGTGGTGAAAGGTCCGCTTCACAGCACGGCTCTCGTCTGCATGGCATGCCCATCGGGCGCTCGCCTTTTTGAAAGGGGGAAGGGAGGAGGAGGAGGAGGGGGAGGAGGAGGGGCAGGAGGAGGAGGGAGGAGGAGGAGGAGGGGGAGGAGGAGGGGCAGGAGGAGGAGAGGAGGAGGTGTGGAGGAGGAGGAGGATGAGAGGAGGAGGAGGAGAGGAGGAGGGGAGGAGGAGGGGAGGAGGGGGGGGAGGAGGAGGAGGAGGAGGGAGGGAGTAGGAGGAGGGAGGAGGGGGAGGGAGGAGGAAGGAGGAGGGGGATGGAGGGGAGGAGGAGGAGGAGGGGAGGGGGGAGGAGGAGGAGGAGGAGGAGGGGAGGGAGGAGGAGAGGAGGAGCAGGAGAGGAGGAGGAGGAGGGAGGAGGAAAGGAGGGCGGAGGAGGAGGGGAGGGTCTGGGTCTCAGGGGAGCGATTGGATGCAATGTGTTTCCCAACGTGCCACCGCAGTGCCTGCGTCGGCGAGAGGCCTCACGAGTGGAAACCGGTGGGGTTGGTCCCCCTCCCCCCTACCCCTCCCCATCCCCCTCCTCCTCCTCTCCTCCTCTCCTCCTCCTTCCTCCTCCTCCTCCTGCTCCTCCTCTCCTCCTCCCCCCCTCTCTCCCCCTCCTCCTCCTCCTTGTCACTCATCCTCCCCGTCCTCCTCCTCCTCCTCCTTCCTTTTTCCTGCTCCTCCTCCTCCTTTTCCTCTCCTCCTCCTCCTCATCATCCTCTTCCTCCTTCACCGTCATCATCATCATCATCATCCATCATCTCATCATCTCCTCATCATCATCATCATCATCATCATCATCATCATCATCATCATCATCATCATCATCATCATCATCATCATCATCATCATCATATCATCATCAGCATTAGCATCACATCATCAGCATCAGCATCAGCATCAGCATCAGCATCAGCATCAGCATCAGCATCAGCATCAGCATCAGCATCAGCAGCATCAGCATCAGCTCAGCATCAGCATCAGCATCAGCATCATCAGCATCAGCATCAGCATCATCATCAGCATCAGCAATCAGCATCAGCATCAGCATCAGCATCACACCAGCATCAGCATCAGCATCATCATCATCATCATCATCATCATCATCATCATCATCAATCATCCTCCTCCCCCTCCTCCCCCTCCTCCCCCTCCTCTTCCTCCTCTTCCTCCTCTTCCTCCTCCTCCTCCTTCTCCCCTCTTCCTTCTCCCGTTCTTCCTTCCCCTCCTCCTCCTCTTGTTATTATGTTTCCTCTTCTTGTTTTTTCTCCTTCTCGTTTTCCTTCTCTTTATCCTCCTCCTTCTCCTCCTCCCTGGAGACGCGAAAATGACGCTTGTCCATGCCTGACTCTGGCCTTGGATCTCGGGCCGCCCGACCACGACAAAAACTATCGAGACAACTACCCGCACTGAGAAGCACGCCCCGGGGGTTATCGCACTGAGAAGCACGCCCCGGGGTTATATTGTTCATGCTGTGTTAAGAAGAACAGAGGTCTGAGGAGGAGAGCGCATTTCCGCTGCGCCCCAGTACGACTTGGTTTCGCATTGCTAAACAGGTCGCCCGTCGCTTCAATGTTGGCCCTGATGCGGTCAGATATCACATACTTCTGTTGTCCACCCATCTCCTCAAATGGGCCTGCCGCGGATCAACGATGCGCCCCTAGGCCGCAGGATTCTCAACCCGCCCATCGCCGCGAACACTACGCGCGTACTTCTTCGTCGTCGGCCAAAAGAAATGTCACCTTCACCCAGAGGGCCACCATCACAAACAAGTAGAGGGTCAGCACGAGGGCGACGTACATGACGATGCCGCTCCTGAAGCCCAGGGTGAACGACCACCCGCCACCCGCCAGCAACCCCGAGAACACCATGCCCGGCGGCGCTGAGCACGGGGCGCGTGTACGGCAGGACGTACCAGTGCCATAAGCCGAAGACGGCGGCGACGAGGAGGCTGAGCTGAAGCTGCTGGAGCGGACAGTAGCTCGTTGGCGACAACGTGACGAAGCAAGCGATGAGCATAATCTTGCCCAGGCGTCCCGACCGCCACCAGTGGAAACCAGCCTGGTATGACCCTGTCAAGAACCTCATGGGGCCTGGCGGCTCTGCGCCGCGTTGGCGGCGCAGCATCGTGAGCCAGCTAACTGGCCTGGCAGCGCGTGCGACCACCAGCGCAGGGCCACAAATCCATGAATACTGGGTGCTCTCGTGGCACTCCCTGTCGGGTTCGTAGACCATGAACTGGAGCAGGCCCGTCCCGTCGACGGCAACTTGCTACATTTTTTTCCAGACCGTCTGTGGACTGAATCGACACGCCCCCATAGCGACGATTGTGAATCGCGAGGTTTCAGGTTTTAAAGCTCGTTGTATAAACCTTTCTTCGTTCTTAGTAACGAATTGTTGCGTGTTTTCTAAACGCGTTTCTGCGTGTATAGAGTTGTGCTGTTGAACGCGTGCGATGGCGCGATTTGACCCATGTCCCAGGCAACTTCGTGCGCGGCTGTGTTTTGCATTCACGAATGCGGGTGTTTCGTAAAAACGTATTTGTTTATAAAACAACGTTTCTTCTCCCAGCCCTCAGTGGTTGCACGTTTCGCTGGTTGCAAGGGGCCTTTTCTGGGGGCACCTGCAGCTGGCGACGGCCGTCGGGGCACAGAGTCTAAGAGGGAAACTTTGAAACTACAGAATGTGATGTGGTTGGTGTGAAACGGCGCCATAAAACATAAACTGTTGGCGCCCAGCGCGGATTTATCGGACCTGCGCTGGGCCCTTCTCCGCGGAGCGCGGAGCGCGCCAGTGGCGGCGCCGGAGGCGCCGCCGGGGGGACCTAGCGCGGATCCAGGAAACCCACGCGGAGCGCCAAAAAATCATGTTCACGCAGGTTTCTAATTCGATCTCGGCGCCGTGATCGCAAGCAATCGGCCGCGGGCTCATTCGGCGCAGTAGGAGCTCGACCGCAAGAAATGTTCCACAAGAAACCCAACCCCGAGACCCCAGGGCGCCAATGGACTTTCGGCGTGGGAACGTCGAGCTTCCCATGGCAAAACCATCGAAACCCCAGAAGCCCAGGGCACCTGGGAGGCGAGCAGGGTTCTTTTTTTGCGGCATGGGTCTCCACAGCGCCCTGCTCGAAGTGCTGCCGCCGTTCTGCTGGAGGAGGACAAGGAGGAGGACGAGACGAGGACGAGGGGGAGGAGGAGGACGACGAGCACGAGGAGGACGAGAAGCAGGAGGAGGAGATTGCGATTGCGATTGCGCTGACTGCTGACCAAGAGCGAGCCTGGGCGCGCACGACAGTCACCCCCGCACGGGGAACACACATGCCTGACTTAGGCGGGCGCCCTTGAGACAACCGAGAGAGGGTCTCCCGCTCCTTCGCAGATGCAGGCCCGCATTCACACAACAGCCTGCGGGCCTGATCAACATCGAACGCCCCGCGCACTCAGGAAAACAACGCGCCCTGACAAGTAGCGAAGAGCGCGCGAGGGGTAGGCGGCAATGAACAAAGGATGGTCAGAGGGTGGGCGGCGCGCCTGAAGGTCCGCCGCCACCAGCGGGGGCGGCCCGGCGCTCTCTCGCTCTCTCTCGGCGCGGGGTGTCCGCTCCCCTGGGACCTGTCCGAACTTCGACAAGGACGAGAAGGAGTACGAGGAGGAAAACAAGGAGGACGTGAACAAGAAACTCAAGAACCCCAGAGCGCCCTGGAGGCGAGCAGAAAATGGCTTGAGCCGCCCCCCGCTGCGCATGGAGGCAGGGCACCGCGCGCGCACCGACGAACGCGCCAAGGCAGGATCTGCCTGGTGGCCACCACGGGAACACGTGATCCAAACATCTGCGGCCCCGTGCCCGAAGTCCCTCGCGGCCGAGGGCGCCGCTTAGTCGGGCATGTCCTCCTACGGGCTTATTCTGTGGGCGGGAAATAAAGCATCATCCCAACATGGTCAGCACAAGCAATGGGAAAATAGTTCCTGCATTATGTTTTGACTATTCTTGGATATTCCTCCTGTAGAGAGTCACGCCCGCTGTCAGGCGACGCCTCAGAGGGCGGCCTGACCGCGCGCGCGGGCGCCGAGCAAGAACGCGGCGGCGGCGAGCACGCACGCGGGTTGCCGGAAGGACAAGGCCAGAAACTGCTCCACAGAGACGGCGGCGTCCCCGTTCGGGAGGAGGCACTCGCTGCTGGATGAGTAGGCGACGTCGCCTCGCTGCGCCATCCGCCGAGTCAGGCCCAACATATCCCTGGGCGCGGTCCATTTCGCACACCTCGCGGAAGACCTCGGTAGATGCCACCGAGGAGATCACCACGCCCGCTGTCGAGAGGCACGCCGGAACGATCTTCACCAGATCGTTGGCGACTGTCTCCGCCATGCCCTTCGACGCTGCTGCTCTCTCCGCGATGCGCAGAGGCCGCGTTTGGAGCACCGCTCGCAGGAGAAGGGGCCCTTATTCTCCCGCCCGAAGCCTTGAATGCATCTCGTGCAGCCAGGCACTGCGGGGTCGAAGCCCGCGGTGCACATGAAGAGGTCCTCCTCGGTGGCCTCTTGGAAGCTGCCTGGCGGATCGGGGAGTAGCAGTGGACAACTGCCCTCCCTTTCTTGAGCGCGGTGGTGCAGTTCGGCTCCGCGGGCTCGGCTGGTCGCCAGTCCATACCTTCCTTCCACGGCGCGGGCCTCATCGTCTGGCGGCGGCGGCGGTGCCCTGAACAGACGTGGGGATTCAGGCACTCGTGCGCGTGAATACCGCTGGCAGGCGACCATGACGCCGATCGGGAGCTCGACGGGCAGGTTCGCCACTTGCGAGTGAGCCTGCTGGACTCGTTCAGGAAGGCGCGGGCGCCCCAGCCGCGACGCCTCGGGCCCCGCCAGCCCCAGGGCCCAGAGTGAAAGGGATAACATCCGCGGGCCCCGCGGGCCTGGCTGCGCCAGAGCGAGCGCGAGATCGGGCACCCGCGGGCAGCAGCGCGCACGCGCCCCGCCCGGCCGCCGGCCGATCTTCCACAGAGCACGTGCCGCACCCTCGCGCGCCTCCGCCGTCCCGTTTCAGCTGCACGCAAGAGTGAGGATGGGCCGGCCTGTCACCACCATAAGTTGGAGGGCGGGAAGAGGTGGAAGACGAGGGGAGGAGGAGGACAAAGAGGAAGAGGAGGAGGAGGAGGAGGAGGAGGAGGAGGAGGACCCCCCCCCATCCAACTTATGGTGGTGAAGGTGGTGGTGGACCACAGGCCCACCAAGTGACCCTAGGCAAAAAAGACCTTTGGTGCGCAGCTTGACGGGGGGCGCAGGGTGGCCAAGCCTGGGCACGCCAGCCGCCGCTGCCGCTGCTGCCGCTGCGCGTTCGGCGATCGGGGACCCCATGGGGCCCGCATCAAAGGTCACTCCAGCGAAAGGTCACCCCTACGTCTAGTCGACCATTCACCAGCGTCTGATTCAGGCTCTCCACCTCCCGGGCCAGCGTCTCGTCCCGGCCGCCGCCCGCCGCCGCGGCGCTCTCCCCGCGCCGCCAGCTGCCGCGGGCGCGCGGGGGCGGCGCGCTGCAGATGGCGGTGCCCCACCGCCGCTGCCATCAGGTCGGGCACGCCCACCTTACAGGCGAATTCCGGACGAAACATGAGACATGCCCCGACAGTGCGCAAACAGAGCCAGAAAATGATCGAACAGTAGTTTTTTGTTGTCCGGCGGGCGCTGACCGAGCGAGCGGGCGCCGACGCGCCGTGCCCAGGACAGGCCACCTGCGCCGAATTTGGCGAGGAGGGGAGGGCCCCCACGACCCCGGCCAGCACAAGGGAGTGCGCGGCAGCGGGATGGTGGGGGGGCGTTGCCTATTCATTCCCCCTGTGGATGGACAGGCCCGACTCTCGCGCTGCCACGCTCCCGCCCCCGAGTTCTGCCGCCTGCCGCTCTCGGTCCCGCGGGGGCCGGCGGGGGCAGTGGCGCGAGCGACGCCGTCTCGGGGCGGCGGCAGGCGCCAAGCGTCGCCTCGCCGCCAGTGGCGCGAGCCAGCGCGCACTTCGAATGATCAAAATCCGGGAAGAAAGTAGGTGTGCAGAATTTCGTTTGGGTGATTTTGTTTTTTGGGGTGTGGAAAATTCAAAATCCCCTAGAAGTGCTGGGTCAGTAAAAAAATGTGCAGACCCACCAGCAGCTGGGACACAGAGGCCCGTCTTGGCTTGAGCAGGATGACCGGTGTCATGGTCATAGCAACTTCGAGGTGAGGTGCCCTGGTTTAGTCTACGCGTCAAAATCTCACATTAACTGCGGCCTGATGGAGACGCCCCTGAACCATCTCTCTCGTCACCTTCCTCTCTTTAATGTGGCCACATGATGAGAGAGGAGGTGGCAGGACGTGAAATTAGCATGGGAATTTGGATGGGGAGCGGGAGGATTGGAAGTTGCTGGGAAGAGGGAGAAGGCAGCAGCTGAACTCGGCCAGGAATAACTCGGTCAGGCTGAACTCGGCCAGCTCAACTCAGCCAGGCTGCACTTGGCCGGCTGATCTCGGCCAGGCTGAGCTCGGCCGAGGTGAACTCGGCCCGGGCCGAGTTCGGCCTGGCCGAGCTCAGCCTGGCCGAGTGCAACCTGGCCCCCAGTTCGCCTGGCCGAGTCCTTGACTTGTCGAGAATGGGGAGGAGGGGCAGCACGAGTTGTAGATGCCATGACAATGGACACTCTAACAATCCGAACATTGAAACAAAGATTTGTTCAATCGGTGTAAAACATGTTCTAAACATGTTTCAAACATGTTCTTAACATATTTTTTTTGATTTGCGCGCGGGTGATCGTCTGCCGAACACTCCTGCCCGTGGCGCCGAAACGACGAGCGATGGGGCCCGAAGGAGGGCCGAAAAAAGCGAGGGACGGACCAGGGCCCGAACAGAGCCGAGCGAGGGACCGACCCGAGCACACAGGGACAACGAAAAAACGAGGGCCCGAAACACGCGATGCTGGCAAGACTGGTGAGACAATTTGAAGCCCGCGTCCTGGCTCCTGGGCTTCCAGCCTCAACCTGCCAGGCAGCACATTATACAACAGACCAGCAAGGCGGCGGAGAGCCCTTCCTCTCTTCGCGAGCCTGGGCTGGGGGGGGGGCAAAAGGAGCACATAAAGGATGAGTGGGCGCAGGCGGTGCGGGTGCCTGCTTCACAGCGCCTCTGTACCCCCTCATCCTAAGCCTAGCCTATGTCCGACTGTCCGACTGTAGAGAAAGCATAGACATAGAGGCATGCACAGAAAAAAAACCCGAGC